TTATGAGTGTATATTGTGTACCCAGATAGTGCACATTGCACCCGTTAGGTATGATTTCACCCATTCTGTCCTCCCCCTTCCCACCTGCATGACTTCCATTGAGTTTTACTTCCCTCTGTGCACATGAGTGCTGGTTGGTTAGTTCCAATTTAGTAGTGAGTACATGTGGTATTTCTTTTTCCATTCTTTAGATATTTCACTTAGAAGAATGGTCTCCAGTTCTACCCAAATTGTTTCAAATGGTATTAATTCATTTTTTTATGGCTGAGTAGTACTTCACGGTGTATATATACACCACAGTTTATTAATCCACTCATGAATTGATGGGCACTTGGATTGATTCTACATCTTTGCAATTGTGAATTGTGCTTCAATAAACATTCAAGTGCAAGTACCTTTTTGATAAAATGACTTTTTTTTCTTTGGGTAAATACTCATCAAATGGTAGGTCTACTTTTAGTTCTTTGAGGAATCTCCATACTATTTTCCACAGAGGTTGCACTAGTTTGCAGTCCCACCAAGGTGTATAAGTGTTCCTTTCTATCCGCATCCATAACACTATCTATTGTTTGGGGACTTTTTGATAAAAGCCATTATCACTAGAGTTAGATGCTATCTCATTGTGGTTTTAATTTGCATTTCTCTGATGATTAGTGACATTGAGCATTTTTTCATATGTTTCTTGGCCTATAGATTAGTCTATCTTCTTTTGAATAGCTTCTGTTCATGTCTTTTGCCCACTTTTTAATACGGTTGTTTGATTTTTTTTTTTCTTGCTGATTTGCCTGAGTTCTTTGTAGGGTCTAGTTATTAGCTCTTTATCAAATGTATAGCACGCCAATCTTTTCTCCCATTCTTTAGGTTATATATTTGCCCTGTTGATTGTTTCCTTGGCTGTGCAGAAGCTCTTTAATTTAATCAAGTCCCATTTATTTATTTTTGTTGTTGCTGTGATGTGTTTTGATGTTGCTGTGTTGCTGTGAAGACCCTTGGGGTCTTCTTCATAAACTCTTTGCATAGGCCAATATCTATAAGAATTTTTCCAACATTTTCTTCTAGAATTTGTATTGTTTCATGTCTTAGATTTAAGTCTGTTAGCCATCTTTAGTTAATATTTATGAATGATGAAAGATTAGGATCCTGTTTCAATCTCCTATACATAAGTATCCAATTTTCCCAGCACCATTTATCAAATAGGGATTCTTTTCCCCAGTGTTCGTTGCTGTCTACTTTGTCAAAGATCAGATTGCTCTATGTGGATGGTTTTATATCTGGGTTCTCTGTTCTGTTCCATTGGTCTATCTCTCTATTTTTGCACCAGTCCCATGCTATTTTGGTTATTATAGCCTTGTAGTATAGCTTGAAGTCTGGTAAATTGATGCCTCCAGATCTGTTCCCTTTTCTTCAGGCTGCTTTGGCCATTTGGGCTCTTTTTTGGTTCCAAACAAAGCATAGAATTATTTCTTCTAGATCTGGTAAAAGCAACATTGGTATTTTGATGGAGATTGCACTGAATCTGTGAATCACTTTGGGTAGTATAAATATTTTAACAATGTTGATTCTGCTAATCCATGAGCATGGTAAGTTTTTCTATTTTTTTATATCATCTACAGTTTCCTTCCTCAGTGATTCATAGTTCTTTTTACAGAGATTTTTCATCTCCTGGGTTAAATATATTCTTAGGTATTTTATTTTCTTTGTAGCTATTATGCAAGGTAGTGAGTCTTTTATTTAATTCTCAGCTTGACTGCTGTTGGTTTATATGAATGCTACTGTTTGTGTAACCCAGACCCAGCAGAAGAAAAGAAATAACTAAGGTCAGAGTAGAACTAAATAAAATTGAAAACAAACCAAAAAATATATATAGAAGATTAATTAAACAAAAATTTGGTTCTTTGAAAAGGTAAACAAAATTAATAGACCTCTCACTAGATCAACCAGAAATAGAAAAGAAAGGACTCAGATAAACTCAATCAGAAATGAAAAGGGAGATATTACAACTGATACCACAGAAATACAAAATATCATCTGGGAATACTATAAAAATCTCTATTCACATAAACTCAAAAACACTGAGGAAATGGACAAATTCCTGGAAACCCACAACCTCTTAAGGCTCAATCAGGAAGAAATAGAGCTCCTAAAAGACCAATTATGAGTAACAAAATTGAAGGAGCAATAAAAAAAATCTTCCAACAATAAAAAATCCTGGACCAGATGGTTTCACAGCTGAATTTTATCAGACCTACAAATAAGAATTGATACCCATACTGCAGACATTATTTCATAACACCAATAAGGAAGGAATCCTCCCCAATGCATTCTATAAAGCCAATATCACTTTGATATCAAAGCCAGGAAAAGACACAACAGAAAAAAGAAAACTATAGACCAATATCCCCTATGAATATAGATGCAAAAATCCTCAATAAAATTCTAGTAAGTTGCATTCAGCAGCACATCAAAGAAATAATCCACCACAACAAATTGGGCTTCATCCCAGGGATGCAAAGATGGTTCAACACATATTAATCCATAAATGTGATTTGCCACATGAACAGAAGCCAAAACAAAGATCACATGATCCTCTCACTAGATGCATATAAAGCATTTGACAAAATTCAGCACCTTTTTATGATAAGAACACTTAACAAAATAAGCATAGATGGAATATATCTCAAATTTATAAAAGCCATAAAGGACAAACCCACAGCCAATATCATACTGAATGGGGAAAAGCTGAAAGCGTTCCCACTCAGAACTGGAACAAGACAAGTGTTCCCACTGCCACCACTTCTATTCAACATAGTGCTGGAAGTCCCAGCCACAGCAATCAGGCAAGAGAAGAAAATTAAGGATATCTAAATGGGGAAGAGGATGTCAAACTATCACTCTTTGCTGATGATATGATCTTATATCTAGAAAAGCCCCCAACATTCCACCAAGAGACTCCTGAAATTAATAAATAAATTCAGCAAAGTCTCAGGTTAAAAAATATATATTTTAATGTGTTTTATCACTGCCATCTTCTATTTTTATAATTTTTTCCAAAGGTTACTGTGCCTTTTCAGTATTTTATTTTGCTTTCTATTTTTTAGAAAAATTATCCTGCCAGTATATTATATTATCCCCCTCCTTCCTGCCACTGCCTGTGCAAGTGAACTTAACCTCAGAGACACCAGTGTTGAGAGTCTGTGTATTTGTGTGCCTCTCTATGAAGTTATTATATTGCATTGATGTATTACATGCATTTACTTAAATACCCAAACAAACACACATGCCCTTTTAACATAAAGGGGTCATACCCAAGACTTATTTCCGTAAATTGCTATTTTTAGTAAACAATTGGTCTTGAAGCTCTTTTGATGCCTAGCTTGTAGATATACATCTTCCTTCTAATAGATACAAATAGTCAAATGCCACCTTATCTGAGAGTATCCCTGACTATCCTATATAAAATAATAGTGCCCAACTCACCTGTCATTCTTATCCCTTACTTTACTTTATTTTATTCTCAGCTTTTATCAACCCAGAACATATTTGTTTCTTGTCTATCTCACTCCACTAAAAGGTAAGCTTTATCAGAAAAGAAAATTTGGTTTTTTACTATTATATTCCTGGCCCATATAGCAGTGCTGGCATGTAGGGGGCACTTGAAACATATTTTTTGTGAGATTACCCTTCGAAAAGACTATCAATTTACATAATCACAATAGTGTGTATGTGCCTGTTGATCCACACCCTGCTGACCCTGGATATTGGAAGTCTTACATTTTTTGTTAATCCAATAGATCATTTTCAGCTATATTCCCTGAGAACCTCATGAATAAATTATCTGTTCAGATACTTTGCCCCTTTAGCAATTGGGTTTGTTTTCTTCTTGCCTGTCTGTAGGAGCTCTTTATACATTCTGGGCATTGGTCCCTTGTATCTTACATGCTGAAAATATTTAGTCCCATTCTGTCACTCATGTGCCACTGGTTAGACATGGAAGCTTAGGCTGATCATCCGTGAGCCTCGCCCTTGGTGAAGGCCAGAAGTTCTATGGATTTAGCATCACCATGAACTGTCTTGTTCCAAATGAGCTGCACCTTCCATAACCATTCTCTGAAGCTACCATTCACTGAACGATGCTCTGTATAAAGAAGGTTCTCAGGAGATTCCCAAGGCTGTGCTTTCCCCAAAGCCTTGCCAGAGAACACAGTGTGGAATTAGCTGTTGTCCTGCTCTTGTCAAAAGTCAAGATAAGACATTTAAGGAATATTATTGAAGAACATGCTGCCTATCAGGCATTTATACAGCTGAACTCTCTGAAATCTTGGCCTCCGCTTTCTTAGAGTCATACTAACTGACCTCCCCTTATTCAACTTGCCAGTTAGCAGATGTTCCTTCTGGAAATGCACCCAGGAAAGCCCATGGCCAGCTGAAAGCTAGCAGCTAGCAAATCTGGGCATATCTGCCTCCCCAGTTATTTGCTTGCCAATAATCAATTGTGTTGTCCCTCAAATCTACGTGTGATAGTTAATTTTATTGTAATTTTGGTTAAATATTACATAACTGCTCAAAATGTAAGTGAAAAGAGATTAGCTGTTTTGTGAACATTTAGTTGATTGCTTTGGATACACTCAGTAAAGTAGGTACTAAAATTGCTGTCGTACTAAATATATATTAGACAACTATAAAAAAAACTGGAAAATTCTAAAAATGTAGACATTTAGAAATATACTTCATTCAGACTGCAAAGTAAAGAAAAGGCTCTGGCTCTACATCAAAAGATTGTTAAATGGCTGTATTTTAGTGACAATACAGTGAATATCATATGTAACATTTTTTTTTTATGATTCACTGCTTTAATACACTTTTCTATTATAGAAAAGACCCTTGCCACTCAAAGTGTGCTCTGCAGACCGCAGCAGCATCAGTGGGAGTGTCTTAGTTCATTTTGTACTCCTTTAACAGAATATGTGAGACTGGGTAATTCACAAAGATCAAAAACTTACTGGCTCACAGCTCTGGAGGTTGGGAACTCTAAGGTCAAAGCTCTGGCAGGTTTGGTGTCTGGTGAGGCCATTCTCTCCTTCTGAGATGGAGCCTTGCATACTGCACCCCCTGCAGGGGAGTGAGGCTTAATCTGAACAAGGCAGGTGGCAGGAAGCAGAAGGACCAAGAGAGAAAACAGAGTCAAACTCGCCCTTTTATAAGAGTATTAATCCCACCCACATTGGAAGACTTCCCAGGGCCTAATCATCTCTTAAATATCTCATCTCTTAATACTGTTTCAATGGCAATTAAATTTTAACATGAGTTTTGAAGGGGCCCACCATTCAAACAGCAGGGATCTTGTTAGGAATGCAGGTAATAAGGCCCAGCCAATACCTACTGATTCAGGATCCGCATTTTAATGAGATCCCAGGTGACTGTATACAAATTGCATTTAGAAAGCACCAATCTATAGACTACTTTTTCTCTGATTTTATAAAGGGACATTAAGTCTGTATGGTTAAGGAATTTTCTATACATCATTCAGCCTATATTAGCAATTTCTTTTAAATTTGATGCTAGGCAAAGCATTGCTTCTCCAATAGAATGAGAGTTTCTTCCTCATGGGCAGTAATAATTATAGTATCAATTTTACCTTCCTTTTTGCCTTGGCCACAAGGAAGCTCATAAACAGAGTTTTTACTCAGCTATGTCATCTGTCCTTGCCTTTCTATTTTAATTTTTATTTCCCCTAGTTTGATAGTTTTCATTTATATTTTGTTATTTCATCATATATGTTTCTTGACATAAATTTACCTTTGTTTCCCCTGACATCATTTATGGAGAAAATTAGGGAGAAAAATAAATTGATACTCCTCAGCCTGGCATTAAAGAATTATGTTCTATCTTATCTCCTCCTATCTTCCTGACCTCAGCCCCCGCTCCTCCCAAATAAGAACATCATATTCTTGCCTAACTACCAACCCCTTTACCAGCACCCAGATATCTTCTGTCTTTTCTTTCTTTTCTATCTCTTGATCCTTCAAATTTCAATCCAAATTGTAACTCCCATTTTACAGTTTTTCCCTGATCATCCTGGAGCAAAGGTTCTTTCTCTTCTCAACTCTAAAAAGCAGTCTGCTAACACCCTAAAGACAAATTCACATTTAGACTCATATTGTGCCCACTAGCATATGTGACTTGGAAGAGTACTTTGAGGGAAGGGAGCATGTTCACGTGAGTCACCTTGCACAGCCTACTGCCAGTTGATGCTCTATTAATGAACGAATGAATGAAGGTATAATAGAATGAATTAAGTGCATATGATGAGGATTTTATTTGGTTTAACTTTTAAAAAGAAAACCAATGTAGTAAGTAAAATAACCTATTATTCTTACTTATTCTGCTTCACTAGCCATTCAAAAGAATGCATAACCCAGGATTTGGTTGAGTGGGCTGAAGTCTACTCAGAATACATAATACAAAAAGAATAGATGATGTGGCCTTTAAGTAAAGCCAATGAGGTGCTAGAATGTGGGGCAGGGTGGGTGAGATGTCTGTGCAGAGAACATATTTCCTTCTTCTCCAGAACCACACTGCTCAGACAGGGCTTCTGGCGCCATTTTTAAAGACTCGGAGGCCTTTAGCCAGCAGTATTAGGGCCAAACTCCCTGCGGCCTCTCTCACAAGGATCTGCAAGGGGAGCAGGGCAACACTGACGTTGGTGGCTGGGAGACAGTGCAGCACGGCAGCAGACAGGCAGCCTGGCACACAGCCAGCTGAGAAAGTGGGACATCTGTGTGAAGCCAAAACATCCTACCGACCTTGAGTTGAAGGGACGAGCCCTGGCAGGCACCACTGAAGAGCTCAGACTCCCTGAGGTGAAAGCGAATTTCACACACAATTGCCGGGGAGTGGCCCGTGCCACACTTACCAGCCTGGCACACAGCAGAAATGAATAAAGTCACCTTTCTTGATTAGGGGACATGCAAGACAATAAAACTCATCAATAATCTTACCTTTTACTGAGATGGACAGAAATATAAAGCAAGCTACAAATGTAATTTTAAATTTTCTGCTAGAACATAAAAAAGTAAAAAGAAACGAGAAAAAATATTTTTTTTTTTTTACCAGAAAAAGAGTCTCACTCTGTCACCCAGGCTGGAGTACCTTGGCATCATATCATCATAGCTCACTGCAACCTTGAATTCCTGGGCTCAAGCAGTCCTCCTGCCTCAGTCTCCTGAATAGCTGAGACTACAGGCGTGTAACGAGCTTAGAAGTCTTCACTCCATCCCAACCACAAGCGAAGAGCTGAACAAACTGAAAAATCACAACTCTTCTTAGATCTGTCAGAGAAGTGAAGTCACAGAAGAGCAAAACCAAAATTAGAGACAGACAGGCAGATATAGAGAATCACAACGTACCAGAGCTTTAAAAAGCTTCACAGCAACCAATATTGGGGAGGAGGAGAGCTGAAATGTAATTGCTGGAGGCTTAGTGTGGACAAGTCTGAGAGATTAAAAACTCCAGGGAGGTCCAGTCACAGGAGGATTCTCACTCAGGCTCTTGTGAGTTTTATCTCCAGAAACTCTACCAAATCCTCACAGTGAATGTCAAAGAATAATCCCCTTGGGAGTCTGGCTTGTGGGGGTTAGGGGGAAGTGAAGGAACCATTTTGAAATATTCCAGAACATTCTGATCTTCCTAATATGACCTATCTCCAGGAAAAGCTATTGTAGCAGAACCTAACCTGCTAGAGTTATATCACAGCCTAACCTGCCGGGGGGGGGGGGGGGGAATACTCAACTCCAGCCTGCTCTAGTCATCTTGTCCCACCTAAGGCAGAGGGTGGTAGGGAAGCAGATGAGGAGACACTGAGAGTCGCTGGGAAAGGTCACAGTCCAAAGTCACAAGCTCGCTAAAATACTGAGACCTAATCATACGACTACAGAACACTTGCCCTCCACCCACAACTCACCGTCACATTACCAAGAGCTTATTTGGTGCTTTCTTTCACACAGTACAGCTTGTCCAGCTTTCGACAGAGTTGAAAGGCATACCAAAAGGTAAAAATCATAGCTCAAAGAGAACTGAGCAAGCATTGGAACTAAAGCCAGATATGGCAGGAATGTTGGAATTATCAGACTAGGAATTTTTTAAAACTATGATTAATATGCCAAGGGCTTTGAGGGAAAAGTAGACAATATGCAGAAACAAATGGATAATGTAAGTAGAGAGATGGGAATTCTAAGAAAGAATCAAAAAGAAGTACTAGGGATCAAAATACTGTAAGAAATGAAAAATGTCATTTCAGGAACTCATTAGTAGATGGAACACAGCTGAGGAACAAATCTCTGAGCTTGAGAATCTAAAAATAGAAACTTCCCAAACTTAACAGCAAAGAGAAAAAAAGATAGAATAAGAGAAACCAAACAGAACTATCCAAGAACTGTAGGACAACTACAGAGATGTAACATATGCATAATGAGAATACTAAAAGGAAAAGACAAAATGGAACAGAAGATATACTTGAAATAATAATAATTTCCCCCTGAATTTCCATCTGAAGACTCCTACAGATCCCAGAAGTTCCAAGAACACTAACTAGTCCAAATGCCCTCCAAAACTGCAATTAGGTATATTATATTCAAACTTCAGAAAGTCAAAGATAAAGAAAAAAGCTTGAAAGAAGCCAAAAGAAAATAACCCCTTATCTATAGAGGAACAAAGATAAGAATTACATATTTATAGCTAACTGATCTTCAACAAAGCCTACAAGAACTTACACTGGGGAAAAGACACCCTCTTCAAGAAATGGTGCTGGGAAAATTGGACGACTATATGTAAAATAATGAAACTGGACCCCTATCTCTCACCATATATAAAAATTAACTCAAGGTAGATTAAAGACTTAAATGTAAGACCTGGAACTAAAAAGTACTAGAAGAAAACCTGGTGAAAACTCTCCTGAACATTGGTCTAGGCAAAGAAATATGAGCAAATCCTGCTTCTCCCAAGAAACCACTCAGATGGTTTTGGCCTACGTTCCCCTCTCTTCTTTTAACTCTGGGAGGCAGTAAATAAATCTCAGGCTGGAGCTCAAGCACTGGAACCAGACCACCAGGTTTGATTGGTAGTTCAGTCACTTAGAGTCCAAGGATGGTGTTAATCTTCTATGTCTCCATTTCTTCCTCTGGAAAATGGAAATAACAATTGCCTCTGCCCCATAAGACTTTTTGTTGTCAGGGTAAATGAGTTGATAGACATACATAGAAGGTGCTCAATAAATGTCATTATCATTTAGTTGTACCACAGTGATCACTGCATTCATTGTACCCTGTCCTTTCCCTTAATCATACATTCAGTATGTGTATATCTAATTTCTCTGACTAGAACGTCAGCGCTTCATGGGCAGGCTATAACATATGTAGAGCTGTGCCCAAGAGTTACACAGTACCAGACATGTTGTATACATTTAACAAAGAACAGGTTTTGACATGACAAAACTGGTCAATGCCAGATAGAGAAATTTTTTTTTTCTTCTTTAAAACGTTTTTTTGTAGCAAAGGAATAGTCAGTGAGGACCTGTTAGTCTTTACATTTCTGAAAGTAAATACTGGCTACCTTTAGAGATTATTTTGTTTGGAGAAGCTCACCACGATAGTCTTTAATTTCCACATATGGAGGTGCTCCTGGGAGAGCTATGGTGCAGATGCTGTTCTGTGTTCGGTTTAATGACTGAGCAGATATAATTTTCATAAATTATGTACCAAGAATGGGATGTGCAAAAATTTACATTTCTTTATTTTTCCAAAATTGATGTTGTTTTAGCTCTTGAGCTTTTACTTGCACTTAATTAAGTTTGCTCAGTCACTTCAAATTTAAATCTTTCATTGTAAATGATTCTGTCTCTCCCACTTCTTTTTCTCTCCTTCTTCACCAGGGTAAGTGAAAGCTCCTGAACCCAACCAGGGCAAGGATGAAGTGAAAAATAGGCCACAAATTCTGGACTTTTAATGAGCTCGTGAATATGGCTCTCCGAGGTTAGTTTGTCACATGGTGCTCTGCAGAAAATAGACCATTTTAAACATACTCAATATAGCCACTTTCTTTGTCCTTCATTTTTTTTTCTCACCTCACCCAGTTTTATTTATTCTGCAAACTCCATCCCCTGATAGTAAGCACCTGACTGTAAGGAAGTTATGGTTTCCAGCAAATGCAAGGACCTTCAGCCTGCCTTACTTTTGCCACTATTCATAATAGGAACACTTTTCTTTCTTGTACACAGAAACACATAACAACAACACAAAAAGGGCATGAAGAGAAGTCTCACAAGAAAAGGCATCCAAAACATCTAAAGAAAATCACATATTTTACTGTATTCATTATCTCTCCAAGAAGTGAAAGTGTGAGTGTCCTTAAATATCTGGCGCAGGGAAAACATTTCTGTTCCACTAGAAATGCCCCTCTGAGTTTGATGGCAACAAAACACTCGTCTCCCTTCTACAGATTCACCTGTTAAATGCTGTTTGTTCCTCAGAAAAAGGTTCTGTGTTCTCACATTCACAGGTAAAAGAGGGTCTGGTTCAAGGAAAATCGTGGATTTTAAGGAAATATGAAGAGAAATGACAGCTCCCTGGGAAGTAACACCTTTTTTTCCCCCTAGAATGTGACTTGAATATGCTTCAGCTGAGGGATAAATCATCCTCAAACTGCATCTGCTCTATTGGCAGCCTGCAGAAAGTTCTAGAAGAGCCTGGATATTCATTGGTTTCTCAGAATTCTTGGAGTTATGACCTGTCATGGTATGATTTCACTTCTGAAGCCCCCGGTGAGTTATACAGCATGTGCTTATGTAGGCACAAATAGAAATGTATAAATCAGTATACAGTCAGCCGGGCCTGAGACTTTTACAGCATCCTTTGAAATACTGGTAGCAGACTAAAGTTGCAAAAGCAGATTCTTGGCTTCAACCCAAAGCAATAGGTAGTCGTGTGGTCAGAGTAGTACTAAATTTGAGTTTGGAGAAACTTCTGCTAGGAACCACACACTCACGTTGGTTTGCATTGGGAGACTGGTCCTCCCAGGGTTCCTTGGATGTCTCTGGGGACCGTGTCTACTACACCCAGTCACAAATTCCAGTGGCCAAGCAGTTTGGCCCATTGCAGATGGGCTTGGCTGCCCATGGGTGTTCTAACTAAGACAGATGTTAAATACTATAACATCAGTACTAATTATGTAAAAAATAGTCATGAATACCATGAAAACTTAAGTAATGTATTCACTAAATAAATAATTTTTCTGTAATAACAAGATGCAGAACAAAAGAAAAAAAACTTGTAGAGTAAAATCTTTTTGACTTATACTAAGTTTATTTTGACTGCACTTTCTCACAGTCTCTGCATAATTGTTTCAAATGAAAATTGCATTTCTAAAAATAGATTAATGGTATCTTTCTTCTACTCTGCTGTAAACTATAAAATCAGACATCCCCATTTGTCCATCCCCAGAGTTTCTAAATAGTGCACTTCCTTCTGGAATAGTGTCAGTTCTTCCTCCTGAAGTAAAATATTTTTGGAGCAAAATCATATTTCCAAGAATCCTCTTGTCAAAGCAGAACTCTCTCTTTGAACTTCCCTTTCCAGTAATTCCATCCAGGCATGAACAGGTCTCATTCTCCACTTTAAGCCTTGAGAAAACTGTCCTTAACATTTATACACCAGAGGCTTATTTCCAAAGAATAAACATCATTTAATACAGAGTCAAAATATATTATGCAAGGCCCTGCGCGGTGGCTCACACCTGTAATCCTAGCACTGTGGGAGGCTGAGGCAGGAGGATCACTTGAGCTCAGGAGTTCAAAATCAGCCTGAGCAAGATTGAGACCCTGTCTGTACTAAAAGTAGAAAAAAATTAGCTGGATGCAGTGGTGCACACCTGTAGTCTCAGCTACTCAGGAGGCTGAGGCAGGAGGATCGCTTGAGTCCAGGAGTTTGAGGTTGCTGTGAGCTAGGCCAATGGCACAGCACTCTAGCCCAGGCAACAGAGTGAGATCCTGTCTCAAAAAAAAAAAAAAAAAAATACTATGTAGAAAAACATCCGACTATAGCAAATCCATTTAGTGAAATTTTGGAGCAGGGGACTGGCAGGGGGGCGGGCGGGAAGACCTCTTTCAGGGAGTAGGTGGAACATGGGCAGGCCCATCTGTAGTCCTGTGCTGTTGGGGAGTATGGAAGGAGGAGAACTGGGTGTCTTTTCTGACCTCACTTGGTACAGAGGGATATGGTCCCTCCTACAACCTGGGCCTGAGCAGTCTAGCTCCCTGGTAGAGGCTACCACAAGGAGGACAAGGAAAGAATGAGAGAGGGATGAGGCATCCCAAGGCTCAGATCCTATACTCACCCAGCCACTGGTACCCCTGCATATGATACTGTGATCCAGAGATTTAGGGTCGGCTTCCACATTCATGCACAACAGCGTGTTTGGTGAGAGTGAAGAGACTGTAGCATGCCGTTCCCCTGTGTTTAACTCTCCAATGGCTCCCATAGCTCTTACAATAAGGCAAATCAATAAGATAAATTGGTTCCAGGTCCTACTAAACCCCCCACACTGTTTGGCCTCAACATCTCCACAGGTGCTCTCCAGTTTGTGTTCCAGCCACGCTGCCCCTCCTAGAACCCTCACTCAGCTCCTGCTCCACTCCAGACCTTCTCCACCTAAAATGCTCTTTTCCCGCTCACCCCTCCCCCCTCCAGTAAGTCTCCATTTAAATGTCACTTTTTCACGGAAGCCAACTCAAACTTCCATCACTTTCTCTTGATAGGACCATTATTAAATCATACTTGGTTTAGTGTCTGACTTTCACATTGGACTAGAAGATCAATGAAAGCAGGAGCCATGTCTGCCCTGAATCCTGGGGGCCTAACACAGTGCCTGGCATACGGTGGGTGTTTAGGAAACCTCTGCTGGCTCAATGCCTGAGAATGGATGAAGTTGTGCAGGAGAACATGGGGAACCTCAGTCAGTAACATGTTGCATTTCTAGCAAAAGTCCCCAGACTGATGTCTCCCAAGTACCCAGTGCAGTTGTTTCCATTTTATAAATGATAAAGAAAATAGAGCTTTTAAAAACTTATAGGAAAAAAAAAAAAAAACTTATAGGATAATTTTAGTCTACCTTCAAAGCCAAAATCCAGTATTTCTATTAATTGTGAGAGGCAGAAACGATGCAAAAGGATTGAAATATTGTAGCATAATTCATGTGTTCAGACTTCCTGCCATTTCAGCCTTTTAATTAAGTGGATTTTTAAAATTTAGAATTCCGTCTATGCTACTTCCTGACTCTGTTATCATACGTAGCCGTCCTGACAGGCCCAGAAAAAAGTCTGGACGGGAATTCGTCATTACCAGGTGACAGGACTGGAACAGGTATTAGAGTGACCAGAGATGATTACCGAGTGGGTAAGCTTGATCTCCGCTCCTTCCTGAATGCAGTTCAGCTTGACCCAGAGCCGGGCTTAACATGCGCCTGACCTACTGGGATCTAGTTAAAATGCAGATTCTGTTCAATAAATATAGAGTGGGGCCCAAGGTTCTGCATTCCTCACACGCTCCCAGGTATCGGGCAGGACCGGTCGAGATGGATTGGCACAGGTCAGAGGGCACAATCATGCCCTGAAGCACAGAGGTTTCCTGCCTGAGAGGAGGCGCGTTTTGGTTGCAGGTGGGGCCGGGATGGGGAGGGCGAAGAGCAACGACCAGGCGTCGCCAGCAGAGGGCAGCAGAGGGCAGGGTAAAGCGCTCGGGACTCCACAGGCCAAACTCATCCCAAAGGCAGCGCCAAAAACGCTGGAATCGGAGCACGGGTAGGAAAACAGCGGGAAAAGCAGGTCACTGAGCACATCCGCAGCACAACCTCCCTAGAGGTTTACACAGGCCAGAACAAACTCACCGAAGGGAGCACTTTGCAGCAGGAGAACCGAGATCCAGTTCAGACACCGAAACTCGACGGCAGTGAACTCCGGGCCGCCACGCACCACAGGCCTGGAGTTCCTCGTTGGTAAAACAGGAGGAAGCCGGAAGGGCGGTCCCTCGTGGACGCTCCAGCCTCGCATTCTGAGCCAGGCGTTCTTGCTCAGACTCTGAGGAGCTGGCCGAGTGTGTGGCCTCTCCCAGGGGGAGGCTCGGACTAAGCGGGGGGCGTCTGGAGCGGTGGCCGAGGTCGCGCTGACCGACCGAGGTCGCGCCGGCGGGCACGTGGCGGCTGGGTCAGGAAGTCAGGGCACGGGGGAGGCGTTCTGCTTTTGTCTTTGTTTTCTTACTTAGTATTTCTATTTGTTATTAAAGATTGTGTACAAATTGGTTACAGAGTCAGCTAGGACTTATGACTAGGTTTATAACCAAAACGACAATCCCTGTCCCCCTTATCTTCCTCATCCTTTTCCCCCAGAAATAATGTCTTTGAACTCTCTCAGTTTCTCTTCCATATTTGTCTCCATTTTTCTGAACGATGTGTACAATATAATCTATTACTTGATTCATTAGCTATTGACTTTTTATTATGCTACAGTGGATTAGGATACCACCTCTTATCCTGAATTATTCTCTAAATATAATTTATCCTATTTTTTGGATCACATCTATATTCACTGTACCCATATTATGACTACATAAATGTTGTTCATTAATAAGCCAAATAATATAGTTTGATTATATTTAATTTCTTGTGCAACTTTTTTGAATCCTGGAATAATTATCTTTTTGCATTTGCTTAGTTTACTTTGAACATATGACTAAATTTCCCACACCATCTAACGTGCTTCTGTCAAAGACTATTTCTTTTCCCTAACACATGAATTCTCCTTTAGCCTGGTTGCTCAAAGGATTTTTTTTTCTTTCTTTCAAGTCCAATATAATAACTGGAATAGGTCTGAATGATGGGCTTTTTAGGGTCAGTTTTCCCAAGTATTTTCCATTTTAATCTGGGGCCTGTCATCATCTTTTATTTCAGGAAACTTTCCTTGAATTATAGATTTTAGTATTTATAGGACTCCATTTCTCTGGTTTTCTTCTTTCAGGATTCCTAGAAGATATATATATATTCCATCTTCTTTGTTTACCCTCTTACCTATCACTTTCTCTCAAATACTTTTTCTCTGCTTTATTTCTGGTTGAGTTTTAAATTTTTTCCTTTTGCCCTCTTCCCTTTCTCTTAAGATGCTATCCATTGTGTTAATTTGCTTTTTTCTTCCTAATTTTATCATTTTTAAATTTTTTTAAATTTTTATTTCTCTTATGAATTCTGTTGTCATATAAATGTTCCTTTTCCCCAATTATCTCATTTCTGAATTCTGATTTCATTGCCCTTTCATAGTTTCTATAAATTTCTTAATTTCTTTTAGCTAATTTTGAAGTCTCAGTTTACAGTTGTCATCTGTTTTGTGGGTGTATTTTTCTGGATTCTTTCATTGAGTAGGGACATTTTTGTACTTTTTATTTTCCTTTTTTGAATAACTTTGTATGTGATTCACCCATGATCCTCTTCTGTTGCTCATTTTTCAGGCAGGTGAGTTTCACTCTACTTTTAGGAAAGAAGGGCAAGTCTGGATCATTTGTCTAGGTCCATGGTTCTAGACTTACCTTTTTCATTATTTTTAAAGAGATAAGCATACAGCCTGGAACTTTCTGAGATGTTCCTCCTCTGCTTCCCTCTCCCATTCTTACCAGAACTTCTCATTCTGTGGCCAGTATTACTCCTATTCTCAGTTTGGATTCTACTCCCAGCAGTTTCTCCTCAGTGAAGGACTTTGCCACTGAAGGGAGTTTGAGGTTTTTAGTTTCTAGAATTCATAGAACCTGACTCCCCCAAATATTCCCCCAATAATTGGAGTCTGCAGCCTAAGTCAGATTTAACTCAGACTCAGTTGTGGAAACTCTGAACACCGCGGTCTTTTCACCACATCTCATTATAAGCCAACAAAGCATGGTGCTGGTTCATGTGATACACTGTTTGTATCACATTCCATTCTCAGGGATTTTTCCAGTATGTGTCACTTCAAGAGATAAAGTTTGAAGGGATTCAGGAAAGTGACAATAGCATAATTTATTAATCTCCTTGCATCTCTCCCTCCACATGAAAACTGTCAGACCAGCTATTAAGTGTTTTTACCAGTATTATTTCGAAAATATGCAACTCACTGGATCCAAGGCTTGAGCTTTTGTTTCCCTAGTTGTTCTGCCAGGGTATCTGAGCGTGGGGTGGATCTGTGACATTGTACTTATACGATCTACTCGAGCCTTAGGCTGGCTGTTTGTAAACAGGATAAGGAATAATACTCACCTACAGAATTACTGAAATAATAAAATGAAGTTGAAACATACAAAATTGCCTCTGTGATTTAATCTGATATACGTAAAAGAAGTATTTATACACTGTAAAGTGATATGCCGTTGTTAGTTATTTCAAAATAGATTTATGAAATATGTGGAACCCTGTAATTTTATGTTTAACTGCATCACTTTCACCCGTTATGTTTTTTCTTTTTCTTTTTTCCCACCAGAATGTAAGCTTTATAAGAGCAGTGACTTCTGTTTTTGTTCGACACATCCTCACCGCCTAGCATAGTGCCTGGCATGTTGTAGGCACTCAGTAAATATTTGATGAATGAATGAATGATTTGTGTTAACACTGCCTGAACCACACATTATGCAACAAATAAAACAAATGGGTAAAAATGAAATTATTACCAGGTTGTCCTTGGACCGGGCCTGTGTAACAAGCTCTGCCAACTATTCCGTTCAGCATTTCAGTTTGCTTTGCATCCCTGCCTCAAAATGACACCGGCTCCCCTGCTGCAGAGACAGGAATCAGCAACACCCCAGCGCCAGAAACAGCTACTGCAGGAAATGTGGCAGTTTCCTCCTCCAAGTCTCCCACCCGCAGGCCAAAATGTGGAAACCTTGAAACAGCGTGGATGATGTCTGGGCGGGGAATAAGGAGCAGCACTGTCCTCTCGCTGGTGTTTATAGGAGTCTGGCAGGCTGTTTCTAAGTCAATAGACTTGCTTTAATGGAGCCATCTATCAAACAAGTGGGGGGCTGCGGTGCCGGCTGCCCCCCTCTCCGTCGGGGCCGCTCCTTTGAGGATGATAGGGAAGGGGAGCAAGGTAATGGTACTCAACGCAGGAAAAATAATAGCCTGTGGCGCAGGATGGCCTCATCTTAACTCAAGGTGTAGATGGGTTTCGTGTGTTTAAACAGCCAGCTCTTTCGGTCTGCGTCTCAACAACACGCGCGAAAGAGCAGACAATGCAGAACCATCCCCCGGAGGCTGCTGGCTAGTGGGCTCTGCAAGGGCAGGAGGGTGCAGTGAACAGATTAATGAGCAAAAGTTCAGACTCTACAGGTTTTCTCCCTCTTGGCTGGTGCAGGGGTGTCAAAACCACGGATTTGCTTCACCCTCACACAGCCCTCGATAAATGAGTAACAACATATTTACACCGTGAGGTACATGGGGCTGGGGCGGGGCGTGGGGCAGGGAGGATGGAAATTACCAAATGTTCACACGAAGACCCATAGTTTGGACTTTACTCACAATACTCGCAATGACACAGTGAAAGGGCCAGGTGTAGTTTAACCCTTTTAGTTTGTGCCAGAACTTTAAATTCTTTGGAAAGAAGAAAGGGATTTGATGTGAACTACAAACGCTTTAATCAAGTGGCTTTCTTCACATAGCATGAAAGCGTTTTGAAACATTCAAGGAAAAAAAAAACCCTTATTTTCTAAAAATATAACCTCTTAAACACCAAGGATGCTGCCAGACCAAGTCCCATCAAGTAACAAGGCACAATAAGAAGCTTAAAAAGGGTTAGGATTAAGTTACATTTGTATGAATAAGCTCATTTTTGTTCTTCAGGTCTCAATCCTTAAATGATCCTATCTAGCGTACGGTAGGAGTCTCCTCATTAAATTATACATTAATATTCTCAGTGTGGGTCCCAGTGGAATCCGAAATTTCCCCAGGGCTCACCTCCATTTACAGGCAAATAACTATTATTATCAATAGCAATAATTCCCATTTGGCTCACCCTTTGTCCCCACCTGCTGGAAGTCCCCTCACCCCAGCCAGGTGTCCCCAAGACTCCCTGAAAGTGTCCCACACATGCAGGTGGGAAGTCTTGTGTCCTTGCCTCTCACTCCACACAAGCACAGGTGCTTCCCCACGCTGGGAGCTTCTGCGAGACGCCATTCCCAAATGCCATCCTCGCTCCTGTGCTATCCCCAGGCTCCCAAATGTGCAAAATGCACCAGGTGACAAAAGATGCACATCCTCTATGGGCCTCACAGGGTCAGAGCCATGCTGGTCCTAGAACAATAAGGCAAGAGGGCCTCCCTTTCATTCCGACACCATGTCACACTGTGTTTCTTGAGCCCCAAACTGTCTGACTTGTGCCCCACATTTTACAAAATGTTTCACGAAAGCATCTTAATCTGCTTTTGCCTTCTGGCTTTCTCTCCTCATGTCTCAGGTATAGACCATGGCTCTGGGAATAAAATGAGCACGTCCTCCATCACCCCAAAAGGTACAGAAGTCTTTTCTCCAAGAAGAATTGAAGTCCCCATGCAAGTGAACTTTCCTGGGGCCTTGTCTACCATTTTTTCAAACATGCCAAGACATACTTGAACTGTAGCAGGAGGTAGTGTCTAATCCTATCTCACCCTTGTCTCATACTCAGGATCAAGGGCCTGTAACTTTTTCTTTCATAAAGCTTTATTTTGACCTTTCCTTTCCTTCTCATTTGCCCACCACCTTAATTCAAGCTTCTTACCTCTTTGCTCCTGGCTGAACTCAGAGGCTCACTAATTAGAATCACTGCTCTGCTAATTCATCCTAAAAGCTGCTACCAAAATAATAGTCCTTAGACTCTGCCTTGAACACATAAACTTCTTGTGTAGTTTCTGATTTTCAATTGGCCATGTAAGTCAGATACATGTTCATAGAGAGAGTGTTAGCCTTGGAATCAGTCAACCTGGGCTCAAATGTTAGCTCTGTGCTTGAATAACTTTGGGGATGTTAGCCCAATCACTTACTTGCTTTGAGCCTAAGTTTCATCATCTGTAAAATGTGATATTAATATCTTCCTTATAAGCCAATTGTATATATAAAATAAATAATGAATGTGAAGTGTTTTTCAAATTTGAAAATAAAAATGCAAGATATAACGTTATCAAAATTCAAGAAATTCTCCTTCGAACTGAAGTCCTCCATAATCTGGCCACCACCCACTTTTCCAATCTTTTGTCCACTTATTCCCATTTCCAGCCCTCCTCCCTAGACTCATCAATCTGTTTCTTGCCCTTTAAAGGAGTCTCTCACTTCTAGATAATGCTAGCTGTTGTAACAGATGAATCAAAATGTCAGTGGCTTAATACAAGAGAAGTTTATTTCTTGCTCATTTAAAATCCCAAATAGGTGTTTCTCTTTGGCAGGTGGCTCTATTCCAAGGGATGATTCAGGGATTCAGGATCCTTCCATCTTACGGCTCCACCATCCTTAACATGTGGCTTCCAGGGTCACCCCCCAAAAGAAGAGAAAACATGGAGAATCACATGTGGAAGTTTGTTATGAGCACATATCAGTCCTCAGTCATGTCACATCCGAACAGGTTTGGGGAACAGCTGGCTACTCTGTGCCACCAGCCCAGACACACAACCATAATAGAATATATTTTTCAAGATATATTACTCAGGTTTATCTTTCAAAGACCAGCTCAGTCCTCATTGCATTCATGAAGTCCTTTTAGAGCAATCTAGCTGATTATCTGATTCTGTGAGCTAAACTCTTAGCACATATTGATTGTACCATGCTTTGAGTCACTGGTCTCCTTTTTGTTAAGTCACAAAAACATTTCTAGATCTCTTTCTTATCAAACTCTCTGAGACATTTAAATCTGATAGTACCCTTTCTGATGAAACACTTCTCTATGTTGATTGACATCCCTGATTTCAGATCTTCCTCATTTTTTTCCTGCCTCCTATGAACTCCATTGTTTGCTCAGTTCTTTATTCCATTAAGTAACTCAGAGAGTCCCTTCACCTCCACCTAAAAAATGGTCTTCCTTCTGTTTCAGCTACAACCTCTACACTGATATCTTCCAAATATGCATCCTGTCTCAATCACTCATCCCTACTCCACAGCCATCATTCCAGCTATTTGCAGGATTTTTGTGGTAGCTTGTCTCCAAAGATATTTCCTTTCCCCCGGTGCCCCAGTGAACTGCAACTCTTTGAATTCACACCCTGTGCAGCAATTCCCACCTTCAATCTGGGGTGGTCACCTGTTATGGGGTTAAGCAATACAAGTGAGATGCTGTGACATTTCCAAAGCTGGGAGTCACAAGAATCTGTGATGCTTCCACCTATTAATAGATATCCCTGAATGCTCATTCTCAGAACACTTACCATATTGTGGGAAGCCCAAGATGTGTGGGGACACCCTGATTGACAGCCCCACCTGTGCTCCCAAGTCAACAGTAAGCATCAAATTCTAGCCATGTCAGCAAACCCAGTAGAGACTTCAGATGACTCTAGCCTCAGCCACCATCTTACTACAAGTGTCAGATCCAGAGTGAAAACCACCCAGCTGAACCCTGTCAATCCTAAGACCCATGAAAGATAATAATAAATTTTGGTTATAACTCATTAAGTTTGGGGATGGTTACTCAGTAATAGATATCTGTATGAGTGTACATAGGGTATCTAACTGTTCAGCTTGATCATGAAATAGGTTTTCTCAGTAGATGTGTTTGTTAGTCAAAGGGAAAAGAATGCAGCCTTTCAGCCAAAAACCCAGGCACCATCATTTTCCTGTCCTTCTTCTCTATTCTAACTCACCCACTAGACTATAAGCCCCATCAGTCTAGAGACTGTGTCTGGTCCCATATCCCCAGCATATTTGTTTGTACATAATACTAATTCAATAAATTTAAAAAACATTTATTTAAATTACTGGATGGCTCAATTATTACTAGACAATAAAATTTAGTTCTTAAAAAATCTAATGGATTCTTGACATTAGTTTTTGTTGCCAACTCAACCATATCAAGAAAATAGTTGGTATTGAGTGCATAGGTGCTCAATGCTATATTTATAATTATTTTAACTCTCATAATAACATATGAATATGAACATATGAGTAATGATCATTATTCACGTTTGACAAAAAGAGTGAGTCAAGATTGACAGAAAAGTCAAACTCTTTGCCCAAAATCACAGAGATTGAGAGTTCAACAGTCAGGATTCTTAACCCAGGACTCTAAACACCCCTGACATATTTTACTCAGAAAGCACTGCTTCCTTATTTTGTTTCCTCCATAGGGATAAGAGTAGGTGCTAACAATTATTGATTATTTGGGAACAAATGAAGTCTCAGGCCCAAGATCATGACAATGTTTTCTCTCCATCGCCATCTTCACTCCTTGCCAAAATTGGAAACAGATCAGAAAATATGGAGAGGGTGGGATACTGTCGTTTTATCACTCTGCTTTGTAGCCACCTAACCACACAACAGAGGTCCTCAAAACCGGCTATACATCAGAATCACCCAGGAGCTTTAAACATTATTTCTGCCTGTGACCCAACCTAGACCAATATAAGCAGAGTCTCCCACATTGGGCACAGATATTGGTACTTTTTTAAAACTCTCAGATTATTATAAATTGCAGCCAGCAAGATCCACTGCTATAGGAATCCTTGCAGCAAGTATGTGATGTCCATAATCTGTCAGAAAATGATCAAAGGCTTTGGCTTCAACCAACAATCTTCACTTTAAGCAACATAGTCAGCTCTTGATTGCATGAAAATGCACATTGGAATATTCTAGTCAAAATGGCTAGGGGAGTGGGGTCAGGCCTCAAACCTCAACTTCAAAGCTAAGAAGGATTGGCTGGGAAATAAGCCAACCTCAGCCCAGAGGCTTTCCAAAGTTTCTAAAACCTCTTCAACTGTTAAATCGATTTGTATGATGTTGACAATTTAGTTCTAAACATAATGTAATAAAGTAGAATTTATACTTGTTTGTGGCTAATGATCCATGTAAGAGATGTGTAGTATTGGCTATGGAAATAGTAGTAATGATAAGAATTAAACCTTTAAGGTAGGAAGGTTAGAAATAATAGAAAATATAAAAAAAAAAAAGCTGTTCACTTTTTATAAGGTTCATTGATCAAGTATAGTGAAATCTGTGTAATCCATTTTCTCCCTATAGATAACACTGTGAGTACTACTCACATTTGTCTGTGCTTCATTGCTTAGGGAACAAATGAACTCCTATGAGATGAAATTAAGAGTACAATTTGGAAATGGAAGGAAACAAAGGAACAGGATTGAAGAGTCACTTTTCATAGAAATTTAAAATATTTTTTAAAAACTACCAAAATTTGTAAAACCCACCTGCAATGGTGAAATAGCTTCCAATTCCCTCGCCTCTTCTCCACCCAAGAACTCCTCAGATTCCCGGGTCTCATGAGACAATTTGGAAATCCCTACTCTGAAATCTCCAGAGAAGCCCCAAAGCACAGAGAAGTGTTACTGTCCCTCCACTCCAAAGAACACACAGGGAAGTCTCCCTGTCCCGTGGGCAGGTGAGCTGGCTCAGCCCATCCTTTTGAATAGACACAAACCTCACTCCTCGTTCCGCTGTTGACAGCACGGAACGGAGTAAACTAAAGGCTCCTTCACATTTATTCATGCAGTTCAGCTCCTGCCCTGTTGACGTTCCTAAGCAGATTTGCAAGTGCCCAAAGACAATTACATTATGATTCATCCTCCAGGACTCCTGCTAAGGCAGGCTACCTGGCTGTGAGTAAAAACATATTTTAGCAGTAGCTGATCTTTTCCTTTGGTTGAGGACCAAGTCAGACTAGGCATGGCTTTGAAGTTATTTCTGTCTCAGTGGATTAGAGGTATCAAAAGAAGCAGCTCCACAAACCTTTTAACAAATATTTACAATTCTGCACTAAACAACCTCCACTGTACCTTAACCTTTACCGTCTTGTGAAATGCTTGCCAACCTCCCTGCCAAACTCATGCACTTGCCAGAGGAGGAGAGAGGGCAGCGGCTCAAAGAAAATGAAGTACAAAACAGTGAGGCATTGCTCTCTTCTCAGTGGCAGCCAAACAAGGCCTTTCTGTGCTGACCTGGCTGCAAAGGTGGGTTCCCTTCCCTAGTCCCCTTCCCACTACCTCCCCACCCCCAGACAGGCACTTGTCCGTCCCTGAGTGATACTGCACCTGCTCAGCCGGGATGCTGGAGGGACGCACTCTATATTCACTTCAGTTAGTCATGGGGCTGCCCTGAAGACAAAGTCTTCAGAGGTGCCAACGGATGGCACCAATCTGATGCAGGAAGGACACAAACTCTAGCCTCAAACTGCAAAGGGGACATTGATGTTTCATCAGCTAGAAGACAACACTGTGTAGTTTGTAGTAAGCCTCCCTCGTTGGAGATTTTTAAATGAAAAAGCTTATCATGGGATATTTTGGCTGCTTCTAAAATGCTGTAAAGATTAGTTAAATGGATGACACCAGCATCTTTTTTATTTTTAAGACTCCTCACTGTGAGCAGAAAGATCTTATAACAAAAATCCATGAGCACGAAAGGATGAATGAAAGCAAGGGGAAGGCGGATGCCATGTTGGATGGGGTGGACAGGAAAAGTGGTCCAGCCCTTCACTCCTCTCTGTCTTAGTGTCCCAGGAACAGAGAGCAAGGGCAACTTCTGTGTGGAGTCAGGCCCCTGACCAGATCAGTAAAGGACTCTCCTGGGAGGGGTGACCATTCATGAGGCCCTCAAGTGGTTTTAATCAGCAACAGGAAGTCACTAAAAGAAGGCAGAGCTTGAGAGGAACAGATGGCAGCTGATATAACAGCCACCAAGGTTTGTTCCTGAAGCCCCATGATATGGTACTCAGAGATCCCCAAAACTTTCCATGAGACTCTTTCACAGCCATGAAAGAGGCAAGAGAGAAAAGTACGTGCTATACTGGTGGCAGGTCCACCAGGTGTTACCTCGGACTGGCGTGGCACAGGAAACAAAATTAGAAGCAGATGAACTCAAAGATTTGGTGGCTATGGTCATGGTCAGGCATTTCATTCATTCACCAAATGTTTATATTACAAAGCACTGGGTTAAGTGCTCTGCAAAACAAAAATAAATTAAACCTATGTCCTACCACCTAAAAACTTACCCTGATCACTAATAATAAGTACACAGTATCCATAACACAGGTTAGAAGTTTCATCGCATAGTCACAAATAAAGGCTGCATTGGTTTAGGTGGGGAAGAGAGATGGTCTCCACATCAGTGCATGCAGCGCTGGTGCAGAAGGTATTCTCAAGGAGAAACAGTGTGAGTGGTGGATTGGGGAGGGAAAGATTGGACATTCTTTTTTAAAAAAGTAGATGCCTTCATTTGACTGAGCAACAGTATATATGAAATAGCGGGAAATGTGGTCAAAAAAGTGGGAGAGTCAGGAAATACAGGGCCAAAGGTGCCAGTTCAAGAAGTCTGACTATCAGGTTATAAAGTAGTGAAAGTCACTAAAGATTCCTTAACAGAAGAGTGACTTGACAAAATGGTTATGTCATAATGGTTAATCTTTATTTAATAGCTAGAAAAACTCTTGTCTAGGGGGCAAGTTCACCATTAAACTTTATACCAACTCCTATGAGCAGTAATATTCAGCAGCATAAACAAGCAAGAAGATAGTCCAGTTTTTAATTCCAAATGCATTTCTTCCTATAGCCCAGAATACTCTCTCAGGCTACCAACTGTGTTGTGTGCTAAGAGAGTGAAAAAAGCATGTAAATAACAGCCTACATCAATCATAATTAGGAAGGTCTGCCCGCTGGAGGGAGGGGCAGGATGGAATAAAAGGCACCAAGGGTGCCTCCTCTCCAAGGCTTTTCTCACTGCCCCACGATTGCTCCTCCCCTCAGATGGAAGGGGGATGGGTGGAGTGAGGGGTCTTTCATAACCCACAACCCCGGGCATATTTCTTAATTTACTCAAATAAAAACAAAGTCATTAATGTATAGGCTCCTTCCTGAAAATCGGTGAAGATATCTTTTCCTATATGGGCATTTTCCTTGTTAATTATGTTAAAATGATAATAACACCACATAGACATTGTGAGTCTTATTTTGAGGTATTAAACACACAATAAACTCAATATACTATATTTCACACATTTTAAGACTGTGAAATGGGAGCAAGAGTCATCATGCCATTGTATGTAGCCACCACATGTTAGTTGTACTGGAGCATATTATGTTCTACCTATAGAAAAATGGTTCCTAGTGCGATTCATGAATATGGCCTTTTAATTTCAGAACTGCTGAAATTAAAAATTGAAAAATAAAAAGAGGGACTTAAAAAAATTAAGTTTAAAGTTTTTCGTCTTTTCAAAAATGGAGAAAATATATCTTTATTTGGGTAAAATATTATTTTAGAAAAAACATATAAGGGAAAATGAAGAAAAATAAATACCTTAATTCCACCATTCAAAGATAAATTACTTTTTGATAGAGAAATAACATTTTATTCTATAAATATACTCTAATTCATTTAACCTGTTTGCTTCTGTACATTTAGATTGCTTCTGATTTTTCAACTTTAAAAGCAAAACTTTGATGAGCATGCTGATATTTAAATATTTGCTTAAATTTATAATCATATTCTTAGGACAAATTTATAGAAGTCTAATTTCTAGGTCAAAGAGTAGAAATATTTTAAAGGTTTTTGATGGATATTGACAAAGCTTCCAAAAATCATAGACCGATTTAATAACCCTTCTGCAAGGAATGAAATTGGTCATTTTCTTGAACACTGTATATTATTATATTTTATTATTAGTTTATTTACTAGGTTAAAGTTACAGTTTAATTTGCTTTAATTTGTACCTAATTACTGATATTGAAATAATATATTATATGGTGCATATATAATACAATATAATGCATATTATTCATGTGATTTCTTCCTTTTGGGTTTGTATCCTTTGCCAGTAAAATTATATATTTGGCTTTTTATTTTTAATAACTTTCATATACCTATTGCAAATACCTATTTTTACTATCTGTTTTATTTTACTTTTTTAATAATGTTTTATATGAAGAAGTTTAAATTTGCACATGGTCAAATCTATCCACCTTTCTCTTTTTTTATTTCTGATTTTGTGTCAAGTTTAAAAAATGTAGTACACTCAAGATTATAAAAATATTCTCAAAATTTTGCATACTATTCTTATACATTTGGCATTTAAATCTCTTCAATCCATTTGAAATTTATTTTGGTGTGTCTAAATATTCTTATGTTTCCCATTTTATCATTGTTGTTCAATATTATGTTTGTGAAGTTTGTGCATTTTTATCTGTAGCTCTAGTTCCTTCATTTTCGTTGCTTTATAATATTCCATTGTATGAATGGAATGTATTGTTTGAATTACTTACCCATTGCCTTGTAAATGAGGTTTTATGTGAACCTCTTGTTCCTGTCTCCATATACACATGCAAAAGTTTCTCAAGGATGTATACTTACAAGTAAAATTGCTGAGCTGTAGGATGTATACTTCTTCAACTTTAAACTAGGTATCATCCATTTGCTCTCCAAAATAGTCATATATTTACCTTCCTACAAGCAGAGCTTTCGTCACTCCACAGCCTCATCAGTTTTTAGTCTTTTCAAGCTTTTAAACTTTTTTCAATCTAATCAATTTATTCTCCAAACAGACTTTAGAAATCTGTTGTCCTATTATAAAAAATGTAACTCACTGAGATTATTAACTGAATTTTTAACTTCATATATTCATTTGGAAGAATTAGCAGCTATCTATTATAAACTCTTCCCATCTCAGAACATGAATTTTCTTTCCAATATCTTTTTGCCTCTTCATAAAGTTTTGCACTTTTTCATAGTCTTGAACGTTTAAGTTAACTCCTATGCATTGCATATTTTGTTGCTATTGTGAACAGACTCTTTTTTTCAAAAGGGTGATTTTTATAGCCAAAAATTTACTTTATTCTTTTATTGACCTTGAATTTAAGTAGATTAGTGCCCCCAAAAGATGGAAAATATGTTAAGAACAAATAGCTGAGCACATCCATAGCATTATCTAAAATGTCAAATAAAAGGTCAGCCCTGAAATTAAATTTCAGCACCATTATGAACACTGCTGGTCCCCTTCATTTGATCTGCCCCACTCTCCTGAAGCCCTATTTTTTTAAAGTCACTTTTTAACAGCACCTCCTAGCAGGCTGTTAATCATGAAGTGATCTAGAATTCATCACATGGAGCAATGGGCAAAGGTGAGCAACTGGGACTCTCCTCCCCAGGACCCTTTGCACCACCTTGCAACACCTTACTGAGCTTCCTAGCAGCTGTAAGGGCATGTTAAACCCCCAGCTTTAACCATAGGCTCAAAACTCAAGGACACAGGAGAGCAGGAGTAAGGATGGGGGTTCCTCAGTATCCCTCCCTTTTTGTCTGAGCATCCACCTCTTCATCAAGGAGTTATCAGGCACCTGTGAGGGACCGAGGACTGGGTCCAATGCTGTGAGGGTAAGGGAGGGAACAGAGAAAGAACCTAAGACATAGTTCTTGCCCTCAGGCAGCATCCAGTGTAGCTGGAAGGATGACTAAGGAGCATAAAGAATTAGGAAAATGCAGTGCCTTTAAAGAGCAGTCTCGTTTTTTCTATACTACTCTCAACTACATCCAGTTGTAGATGATAGATAGAGATATATAAAATATTTGGGACATTTTTG